AAAACTGGTTTATGTAACAAATTTAGATACAAACTTGATATTTTCGAAGCCTGTATATTCTTCTAAGGATCTCAATGCCATAGCTTCTTTCCAGGAAGAATGAAAATAAAATTTTACTTCAATAAAGATACTTTTATCTTTTACCCCAATTAATTATTATTTTATTAAATTTAATCCAATAAATATATTGTTAAATGAAATTCCTTTCGAATTTTTTAATAAATACATTAAAATTCTAATAAATACAAATACATTAAAATTCCTATTAAATTATTCTATGAGTATCTCCTTCAGTACACTTCCAAGTTTCATCTCTTTTGCCAAACTTTGGAGGATTTCTATACCAATCTTTTATATCATCTTTTCCAATACATTCAGCTAAAGTCATTGGTTTATAAGATTTTTCGAGAGAAAATTTAATTTCAAAATCTGCTAATGGTCCAACTGTAGTATTTATTCTATCGTGACTCAAACTAATGCGTGGTAGTCCATCGCTAGTACCTTGTGAAAAAAGGTTTTCACTGTCTTTCACTGAAGCTTCAGCCCAATCTCGGGTATCAACATCCCATAATGCAACTATGTAATTTCTCTTTATTAATTCATTACGAAGGTCAACAACATTTATTCCTGTACCAAAAGGAGGTCGGAAATATGTAGGGACAGTACCAAGAATTTTTTTAAATGCTACTTCAAGGTAATCGATTTGATAAATAATTTCTTCTTTACTGAGTGATCCAAGACTAGGATGAGACCAAGTATGAGCCGCAATTTGATGACCTTCAAGGAATGCACGTTGTAGGGTTTCGGCATTGTCATAGATGCAGGAATCTTTCTCTCCTGTATTACCATTAACAAAGAACGTCGCTTTTATGTTATGCTTTTTCAATTTATCTAAAAGTATATTCGACTTGAAGACCATCATTAAAGGTACCACAGAATCCGTAACCTTTTTGACAATTGGGTACGCAGTATTCTATAATAAATGATTGTTATAAAGATTAGAAGTATAGAAAATTAGAATTCACACAATAAGGTAACAATAAAATAACTTACCATGAGTAGATCCACAAAATCCTGTTTGTGAACAACAATCATTAAAAGGACATGTTGTGTTAGTCTTTGCGCCACATGTCGAATCGGTTGAGGCAGGAAAACAATGACCAAATTCTGATTGACATTCTACTCCACAAAAGGCTGTTATTTAAATTCGAACTAATTAAAACAAAAAGTCTTTCATAAAAAAAAAAATTTTTTTTAAAGAATTCGGTCCACTTACAAACATCATCCCCGCAGAATCCATCTTTTGAGCAACAAGCATTATCGGGACATTTCTTATTTTCATGTTTTGGCCCACATCCATTTGATGCAGTTGCTGTAGATTTAGTTGCTGTAGAGTTAGTTTTCGTAGATTTAGTTGCTGTAGATTTAGTTTTCGTAGATTTAGTTTTCTGAGTTTCTGTAGATTTAGTTTTCGGAGTTTCTGTA